GGGGGGGGGGGGGGGGGGGGGGGGGGGGGGGGGGGGGGGGGGGGGGGGGGGAACTCATGTTTCGCACCATTGCTGTTGCAATAGACCACTGACCACGCGTCCTCGATAGGTTGGTGTGTGTGTGTGTGGTAAAAGTGAGAACCTCGGAAATCATGACTTATGCATGCGTACGTTTGAGGGGAAGAGAGGCGAGGAAATCGGGCCCACATGGCGCGGCGCGAGAGAGCACCACACGTCAACTTTTGCCCCTCTCCCGCCCACAAAACGACAGAAAAACATACAAAGCCTGGATGAATACGCGAAGCCCCCCCCCGTCCCCCTCCCGCAGTGAACCATCCACCCTTCCATGAAAAAAACGAACAAACAAGCAAACAAGCAAACGCTTTAGGCAAGTACTGCCGCCACAGATGATACCCCTAGTTGCGCACAAGAAAAGTAGAAAACTGAAATGGCCCCACCTGGATTAACAACAACGCCTCCTCGACAACCCCCCGGTCGCCCTCCCTCCAGGACAAAAGATAATGAGGAAATAGCCAGGGAGGGGGTACGCAGACCCCATATCCCCAAACCAACTTCCCCCCGTTGCATACTTTATCTAACATACTTGCTTATTGAAAAAAACCTGCAAAGGCTACTACTGCCCCCCCTCCCCGCCCCCCCACCCCGCCCTCACCTGAAACAGCAGAGACAAAGCCTGCGTCGCCGTCGCGAAACCCCCGGTGTGCGCCACCCTGAAGAGCGACGCCGTCCTCCCCTCCACCCCCGGGTCCCCCGGAGGAAGGTAAGGCCTCGCGCGGTTGACGCCCGTCAGGAGGGCCGATAGCAGCTTCGCCCCCGACCCCCCGGCATAGAAGGGGGTATTTGCTTCGTTCTTCCCGTGCTTCTTGCCCTTGTTCTTGCCGTCGCTTGCTGAGGAGGAGGAGGAGGAGGAGGTGGCTCCCTCGAAGAGACGGAGGTAGGTTTGCACGAGGGTGGAGGCGATCGCTCCGTCCTCGCCGGCAGTGAGGTACACCTCGTTTTTTAATACGTCGTTTGTTTTTTGTTTCAAGACAAAACATTTTTCTTGTTAGACAAATATACCATCACAGAGAGACCACCAGTTCTTGTGTTGTTACAAAAAAAAGGGAAATGGTTCACCGAACGGGTGAAGGTAGGCACGTACCGGTGGTTGACAACATGAAGTCTGAGACCAGCGGTTGCATGCTACCAAGTATGTATTGTCTCTTGCCAACAAAAAAAAATTCCACCAGAGAGGTACAAAGTGTTCGAAGGAATGTATTCAAACAGACAGGAGACGGTGGTAGCGCAACCCTGCACATTCAATACCAAAAAAGACTCAACAGAGTTATTTCAAGGTCAAGGTACGAATAGACCGAGGTGATGGTAAAATAGCGCAACCAGCACATATCGTCCTTCCTTGTCCACGACAGTCCCTCTGGACAGCGCTCAAGGGGGGTCCACAACAAATCATCGCGCATCACCTGGTTGAGGAAGATGATACCAGCGTAGACGGCCTTGGGCTGCAGGCCCGGTCTGTGGAGGTACTGCTGCACCTCCCTCACGACCACCCCTTTCATGGCCGGGTGCTTCGCCAGAAGCCTCTGCAACAGGTGAATTACCTGGAGGTAGAATGTAGAGCACGGAGGGAGGAAAGAGGAAGCCAGCCCGAGAGGTGCCAAGACTTACACGGTGGGGAGTTATGTGCGAAATATCACGCCGGGTAGTCTCGTCAACTTGCAACAACGAAAGCAGCGGCGGCAGCAGCAACAGCAACAACCGCGTGAACGAGGCCTTTTCATTGGCAACCCGTTAGCGCGGTCGATTGCAACAAAGAAAACAAACACGCACACACACGCACACACACCCTCACGGGGTCCCAGATCATGGTGGCTTCTAGAAGCATCTTGTGTTTTCAACCGCCCTGAGCCTTACGCAATTTCATTGGTAAGTCGGGGGCGGGGGGGCGTACTCTTATGTTTTGCATGTCTTAGCGGTTAGGCCATTGACCACGCGTCCTCGAGAGGACGGAGCATTGTTCCCACAGGACCGATCACCGATGGCCAATCGTTCCTTTCTACTTTGCCAAAGGTGGCTCAAAAATGTCTTCCCTAGTCTGTCTATCCTAACGATATCCCTTCCCGCCTTTTCAACCCACCTCCTATGCCCCAGTACAGCTACCGTCCTTTCCTCTCTATTCCATGCCTCAAACATCTCCCTGTACGTTCCATCTATTTTTCCCAGCTCAGTCACGTACACTTCCCTCTCCTTCTTGTACAACGGACATTCCGCGACTACATGAACACGGTCTTCGCATTCGAAGCCGCAATCACATTTGAACTCGTCGTCTTCCTCGTCTACCGTCCTATGTCTTCGTCGACGTTCTCGAAGGCCTATGTCCCCGGTCCTGAATTTGACCTTGAGCTTTGTTCCTGCATCCATTGGTCCATGTAGGTAGTCCTTGAACCCTATTCCTTCCTTCAACATTCCGTACACTTCTAGACCCTCCTTATCCTTGGATTCTTTCCTCAGATTCTGTTCTTCTCTCTCGGCACAAGCAACAGATATCTTCTCCTTGAACCCCTGTAGACCCTCCGTTTCCAGCGTTTCATCTTCGTCGATGTCGAGCCCCTTCCATACGTCCTCTACAACCTTGACCCATTCCGTGGGTTGTCTACCCCTCTTTTTGTTTGCCCACTTCGCCTCCCATACAATTCTCGGCAACCTCTCCTCTCCCATCCCGCACATGCGATACTGCCAGGTCAGCTTCCTCGCGTCTCTTCCCGACCGTAGGGATTGGATCCCCAATTCTGCCCTCACGGCTGCATTACTTGTGCGCCTGGAGCATCCTAGGATGGTTTTCGCTGCTTTCATCTGCGCCGCCTCGAGTTCTTTCACTACCTTCTTATTTCCTTCCCATACTTCTCCGGCGTACTCTAGCGGCGGTACGATTACGCTCTTCAAAACCGTCAATTTGATGCGTGTATCGAGGTGCCGGTTTGCGAGTATTGGGTGCAGCTTCCCTGCTCGTGCTTTGCCCTTTTCCGCTACCTTGGACATGTGTGCATTCCACGAGCAGTCTTTTGCGATCTCTACTCCGAGGTATGTGTACTGGTCCACTACTGCAATCTCCTCGATCCCCCACTTCCATCTATGTTCTACTGGTTCCTCCTTGTTCTCGTTGCATACCATGACGGCACTCTTCTGAACGTTGGCAGACAATCTCCACTTATCAGTAAACTTCTTCGCCGCGTCAATTTGCAGTTGCAGTCCCTCAGGGGTGTCCGACATACCGACAAAATCATCCGCAAACAGCATTCCTGAAACCGACGTTTCCGTGTCCCCTACTTTTACTCCCTTCCGGACTGCCTCTACGACTTCCAACAGATCGTTGATGAACACCTGGAACAATGTTGGGGACAGCGTGCAACCTTGTGGGACCCCCTGCTCAATGTCGAAGAATTTTGACAGTTCTCCGTCTAGCATGACCGCGCTTTTCGTACACTCTGTCATCTTCTTCAGCACTCTCCACATTTTCCCCTTGATCCCGTATTTGGACAGTTGTTTCCACAACCCATTTCTCCACACGGTGTCGTATGCCTTTTTCACGTCCAGGAAGAAGCAGTACGTCGGCTTTCCCGCCCTCTTTCTACCTTGGATGATTCTCCCTACCGTGAACACGTGGTCTACGCACCCCCTCTTCTTGCGGAAACCTGCCTGGCCCTCACTAATGCTATGTTCCTTCTCCAATACTCCCACTATCCTATCGTTCAGCAGCTTACAGAACACTTTTCCTACTGTGTTCAACAGTGTGATCCCCCTGTAGTTTCCTGGGTCAGTCTTGTCTCCTTTCTTAAACAAGTTCACAACCACTCCTTCCCTCCATCTACTTGGCGTATACTCGTTTTTCCACACCCAATTGTATAGCAGTACCATCAGCTGGATCATCCCCTTCCCCCCAAACTTCATGAACTCGTTGACTATCCCATCCGCTCCTGCTGCTTTGTGGCACTTCAGCTTGTTCACACACGCCTCAACCTCGTCCTCAGTGAACTCCTTTTCTAGTTCTACGTTCCCAACGTCTGCCTTCGATGTCTCTTCTTCTTTTTGGGCCCATGCGTCCACCTCCTTCTTAAACGCTTGGTCAAAAGCTTCATTCTCCGAGGGCACTCCAAGTCTCTTGTAGTGTCCTGCTAGAACTTCCCTTTTTCCCTTCCCACTGCTGACTAATCCACCGTTCACACCTCGCAAAGTTGCGACCCCTGTATCCCCCCCTTGCGCGGTCTTTTTTACCATTCCACTAATCCCTTCCCACATCTGCTTGACGTTTCCCTCCAGGCCTCCGTTGGCCTTCTGCACTACTTCGTCCCAAATACACTTTTTCTTCTTTTTCACTAGTCCCTTCACCTGTTTTCTCTTGGCCCTGTACTTTTCCCAACTCTCCTCAGACGCCTCACTCAGGTACTGCTTGAAGACTTCTCTACGTTCCCCTATTTCTTCTTTCAGCTCGTCATCCCACCACTTAACCGATACCCCACATCGTACCACCTTCTTTCCCACTACTCTCTCTGCCGTTGCGTTCACGATGGACTCCCACCCTTCAATCACCCTGTCCCCTGCTGCCTGTACGTCTACCTGTCCGTCTTCGACGCTTCTCAGCAGTTTCCTGAAGGATTCTACACTACCAGCCAGCCCCTTCTGGAATTCATCCCGTGTCCCATCGTCTCCCAAACGCTCTACCTTCCACCGGAACACTTTCCTCTGTTTCTTACTCTTGATCTTTCTAGATCGGTCGATGTTTGCCCATATGAGGAAGTGGTCGGTCGAACCTATATCTATCGCACTTACGTGCAGCTCTGGGATCTGCGTGCTCCCCCTATCTACCAGGATGTAGTCGAGGATTGAGTATTCATTGCAAACTGCCCGTTGCCTTGTGAACTCCGGCTTATCGCATTCCCTCCTACCGTTCAACACCATCAGTTCGTTGCTTCCCAAGAATTCAAGCATCCTCACTCCGTTGTCATTCACTTTGTCTTCTCCGTGCTGCCCGATCGCCTGTCCTCTACTGGAAGCTTTCCCTACTCTGGAGTTGAAATCGCCCACCATGACAACTTCTCCCTTCCTACTGAACCTCTGGACATCTTCCCCAATTTGTCCAAAGTTCTCCTGCGCCTTGCTTGCGACTTTCTTCGACGACGGTGGGACGTATACGTTCCCTAGAAACAAATCTTTCTCACCCCGCTCCCCAGGTATCTTAAGCCATAGGCTTTCCTCGAACTCCGTTTTCACCACTACTTCCACCACGTCAAACAAGTGTTCCTTGACCAGGAATCCGACTCCCCCCTCCCCCCTTTTCTTCGGGTCTAAGCCCTTTCTTGCCTTCCCTACCCACCGGTATTTCCCTAGTTTGCTTACCACGTCCCCATCCTTCAATTCCCACGTCTCTTGGATCCCCACTACATCTAGATCGCTTTGTTCTACTTGGTCCACTATTTCCAACCGCTTGCGCTCACTCCTTGCGAACCCGCACACGTTCCACGACCCGACTCTCAGCTTGCGCTTTTCCCTATTGGAGATTTTGCGCACACCATCGTTCGCCTTCCGCTTCTTCTCGGACTTCTTCTGACTTGCTTGTTCGACTGCCCTGCTCGGTCCTTTCTTCGCCTCCGCCGCCCTCGCCTCTTGTCTCCTTACCTTCTCTGTTTCTATCATGTTCGCGATGCAAACCCTCCATCCAAACTTCCTTTCGTACTTCGACAGCTC